GGCAAAAATCAATTCCAAAATTATGATGTCAGCAGAGCCATGGTCCCTGAAATGTGTGAGGGAGAATCCTTCCTTGCCTCTTCTAGCTTCTGGAGTTTACCGGCAATCCTCGACATTCCTTGGCTTGTAGATGCATCACTGTCATCTTTGTCTCCGTCATGACATGGCATTCTCCCTGGGTGTCTCTCTCTCTTCTTATGAGGTACCTGTCACATTGGATTAAGGACCCACCCTGCTCTAGGATGACCTCATCTTAAGTGATTACCTCCACCATGACCCTACTTCCAAATGAGGTCACATTCTGAGGTACTGGGGGTTAGGACTCCAGCATATCTTTTGGGGGGATACAATTAAACCCATAACGAGTGGTAAACCAAAACAGGCACAGCCTCATGCTCTCGTCAAGGTAATAGTCGAGCAGGATACTCAGATTACAGGTGCGTTCTAAAGAAGACATACAAATGGCCAACGGGTATACGAAAAATGCTCAGCGTCACCAATCATCAGGGAAATGCAAACGAAAACTACAATGAGATATCATCTCAGACCCGTCAGGATGGCTATCATCAGAAAACCAAAGACAACAAATGTTGGCAAGAACGTAGAGAAATTGGAACCCTTGCACACTGTTGGGGGCAGTACAAAATGGTGCAGCCACTGTGGAAAACAGTATAGTGGTTCCTCCAAAAATTAAAAATAAAACTGTCACACGATCCTGCAATGCCACTTCTCCTTATTTATCCAAAAGAATTGAAATCAGGACCTTGAAGGGATACTAGCATTCTCAGATTCATTGTAGCACTCAGTGTTCTCAGTAGCTGTTTCCAAGATGTGGAAACAGCTTAAATGCCCATGGGCAGATGAATAGATAAAGATGTGATGTGTACTTTCAATGGAATATTATTCAGCCTTAGAAAGGAAGGAAATTTTGCAATGTGTAACAATATGGATGAACCTTAAAGACCTTATGCTAAGTTAAATAAACCAGTCACAGACGGACAGATACTACATGATACCACTTACATGAGGTATCTAAAATAGTCAAATTCATAGAATCAAAGAGTGGAATGGTGGTTGCCAGGAGCTCAGCAGAGGGGGAAATGGAGAGGTACAATCAACAGGCATAAAATTTCAGTTAAGCAAGATGAGTGTTAGATATTTGCCGTACAACACTGTACCTAGAGACGACAATACTGTATTGCACACTTAAAATTTTGTTAAGAGAGTAGATCCCATGGTACGTGTTCTTACCACAATATAACAAAAGAAAAAACCAAGTGTGTTGAGAATTTCCAAATGGAGAGTATTCGTGCAACTGTATCATAGAGGAGAATTTTACCCAGTTGAGGGCTTCCTCCCTGAGGAAGTAACATTTTCAGTGAAGATGAAAAGATGAGTTAAAGTCAACCAGACAAAGTGGGGTATGAAGCACAAACGCCCTCGCCCTCTGACGTCCAGAGCCCCTGTCCTCCTCAGCACTGGGCTTATGAGAAGCCAGAACCCAGAATCCCAGGGAAGGTCTGTCAGTGTCTCCCAGGCTGCCAGCTACAAGCTAATCCTGCCCGCAGGCTGGGTCCCACCAGCCTACAGTCCCTCCGTCAGCCAGCAGGACCCAGCACTCACAATCGAAGCCCCTATGCAGGAGAGCAGCAGCAGGGGCATCTCTCTGTTTTCCCTCGTTTGGCCTAAATTGATTAAAATACTTTGACCCAGAATCAGCAAAGTGCTTAATACACAGATAGCTTCTGCTGCCCTCCTTCCCTTGAGAAAGCAATGTACCTTTATCATGAGTAAGCGGATATGTCTGTTTTGTGAGTTTTTCCGGGAGCATTGAAGTGGCCTCACGGCTGCCAGATGCCTCTGTTTCAAGATCCCAGTGACTAAATTTCTGCCAGAGGTGAGGGCAGGAGTAGGGTCAGCAGCGGTGTAGGGACTAAATTAGGGCAAGTTTCAGCCTTGGGCCAGCACTCGCTGTGCAGGCGGCTCCTTTATGTGACATCCATAGAGAGGTCATCAGCATTGGGTGTAGTTGTTGGATTCTATCTTACACCCACAATAGTTTAGTGTTTCTCTTGAAAGTGGGAGCGGGGAGGGAGGAAAACATCCTTTTTTGAAACATGACAAATATAGAGAAAAGTGCACAAATTCTGCACATTTGGCCTGGTGTTTTTTCACACCGAGAATGCAGATCCAGCACCCAGATCAAGATAACACATCCCAGAAACCCTCCCCCTCTCCGCACCGTACTCGACTTCTTAGTTACTACCCACCAAGGGTAACCACCACCCTCACTTCTAACATTGTAGATTAGTTTTGGTTTTGGAGTTTTATGTAAATGAAATCACACTATGGATTTTGCAGTTGTGGTTTTGTTCACTCAGTTTTATGTCTGTGAGATTCAGCCATGTTGCTTGTTGTAGTAGTTTATTTTCATTCTTCTGTCAAGGTTTGTATGAATATATCGTAATTATCTATCCGTTCAACTGTTGATGGACATTTAGGTTCCTTCCCAGCTGAGCTATTAGGAATAGTGCTTCTTTGAACCTTCTCATATATGTCTTTTGACGAACATATGCAAGTTTTGGGGAGAGAATATATACTTGTATTAGTTGTCTATTATTGCGTAATGAATTTCTCCAAAACCTAGGAGTTCACAACAAAAATAAACATTTATTACCTCTCACAGTTTAATGAATGAGAAATCTGGGAGCAACTTGGAAAGGTAGTTCTGGCTCAGGGTGTCTCATGAGGTTGAAATCATCTGAAGGCCAGCCGTGGTCCAGCAGAGCTGCTTTCAAGGTAGCATGGGCCAGTGACCCATGTCACCGGCACGTTGGTGCTGACTGTTGGTGAGCAGCCCCAGTTCTTCTGCATGTGGACTTCCCTCCAGATTGTCTCGGGGTCCTCATGACATGGTGGCTGCCCTCCCCTACAGTGAGCAAGAGAGAGGGCCAAGTGGAAGCTACATCCTTTTTCTGATTTAGCCTTGGAAGTCACATAGCATCCGTTCTACCTCATTGGTGCGGACATATTTTTAAAACCAATAGCCCACAACATTTTGAAGCTTGGAATTTATCCAAGCTAGGGATCTAAAAATAAGTTTATAGACATTCATACAAGGATCTAAAAGAAATATATTCAACCCAGCCTCTCCTTTTTTATTCATGTAAAATTTTATGAATGTTTGTAGGACAGTTCTCAAGGTATTTTGCGGAGATAAGATGATATTGTATAATAGAAGGTACAAAGGCTTTGGAGCCAGACACACCCAAGTCTGATCCTGGATTCACTACTTACTAACTAACTATGGGTATTTGGGCAAGCAGCCTCTTGGATTTTCAGATTCCTTCAACTTTAAAATAGGGAAAATCAGTAGAGCCCAACTCAGTGTTCTGGAAGTAATTAAATGAGATAATGTGTGTAAGGTGCTCATGATGATGGTAGGTCCCTTCCATTTGCTCATTTATTTAAAAAAAAAAAATTAACCATATACATTAATTATCCAGTAGTAAACGTATACATTAACTATCTTTAAAAAAAAAAGTATTAACCATAGACATTAATCATATACGTTAGCTATGAAGAACCCTGCGAGAGATACAAAACTGACTCAGACACGGACCTTGCCTTCAAGAGGTGTAGATTCTAGTAGGGTCCTTGACAGATGGAATAACTGTAATACAACTGAGAAAATATTCAGTGTCTGGAGCAGATGTGGATACAATCCTTTAAATATGGGTTAAATTTGGATATATAGAAATGGAAGAAATTTAGAGGGGCAAGGGAAAGACCAAAAGTATTCCAAATTAGGAGTAACAGCTTCAGTAAAGACAGAGCTAGAAAACCAGGGGGCATGAATCGAGAATAACAAGGTACTTCATTACAGATATGGCTTAAATATAGGGTAGGAAAGGAGGCTGTGGAAATAGGGGTTGGAAAGGTAATTACCTATCAGAGTAGCTGAAAAGATTGAGAAAGCTACACATCAGTTTTACAGCCTGGTGAAAAACATTAAAGCCAGAGACTTTTAAACCAATTTTCAGGGCTGGCTACAAAAGCTAGGCAGGTCTAGCTACTGAAGGATCTACTTGCCATGCTTTTCTTGGCTAACTCCTGTTTGTAGAATCTTTGTGTCTCACGCTGTAAACAGAACTTTCTAAAACTGATCATAAAGAACACTTCTCACTCCAAGCCCAAGCAACTGAGGTGTTTCTTTATTATCCCCACTTTGGAGGCTGCATCAACAGGGAAATGCCGTGAGACTGTTTTTACAGGCCACTCTAAATGTACTTGTCAAGACTTGGCCATTTGGAATGGCCAATTCATGCACTTAACTCATCAGTGTGTTGACTTCCTCTTCTAGGTAATGAGCTGATCTCTCCACTTATTCCTCCTCAAGAAGAGTAATCTATTTAGCAACTCTCACTTCTGTTACATTCTCCAGTCCCAGGCAGTGATGGTATTTCATACGTAAGACCGAGACGTTTCTATGCTATGATGGAAGCTTGAAGGAAGTTGGAACCGGCAACCTTTCATTTTGAAGCCAAAGAAAAACAAGCACAGATTTTTCAGTCTTGCTAAGAATGGGGGCTAGAGAGATGAGCAGAAAGCTTTCTTCTAGACCCGCTATTCAGTATGTGGTGACCAAAGCCTTTATGCGCTCAACTTATATCTTATCTAACATACCCTCCTATTTTGATGAAGCTTATATGTTTCATCAAAAGAGACATGGTTGTGACCATTCTTGGTGATTTTGTGGGTAAAAATTGGAGGTTCCATTTTATCACCCACTTTGTTTAGTCTGAATGAATTCTAGAGCATGAAGGGAAAGGATGGGTTCTAGGATTGGGATAGAATTCCTAGCCAATCTTGAGCTAGAACTTCCCAAATACCCAGGTAGGTGTTTTTACTCTATTAGGTAACGTTTGACGTCATGGGACCTGTTCTCTGCACAAGTGCTCAGGGTGTCCTCTTCCTCTCTGGCTCTGATTTCTTCCCAGGTGGGAAATTGGCAAGTGGAGTCCATGTAGTCTCACCTGTGGGGTTGGCCTGCAGACCAGAGATGTCTCCTGCTCCCACCTACTTTCCAGAGAGATGAATGAAACAGTAATCCTGGCTGATGAGCTGTGTCACCAGCCCAAGCCCAACACGGTGCAAGCTTGTAACCGCTTCAACTGCCCCCCAGCCTGGTACCCTGCGCAGTGGCAGCCGGTGAGTTCTGGGGTTACTCAGTATTGGAGTTCGTGTTTGCAGCAGTGATTTGGGACAGGGAAAGTGCCCTGTGAGAGTGTTGTGCCATTAAAGGACTGTTCAAGATCTGCTCATCCCTCCTTGCTTAGTACTTCCCCAAGCTTATTCCAAACCAGATCTTTTCATTACAATTACCAAGCTCTTTCTACTGTACCGCCTCCAGTGGTATTCATGACAAAGTTTTCACTGAGCTAAGGAAAAATTTTTTTTAATAAGAACTGTGTGGTGGGTAACTTTCCATAAAGCTACATTTTCTGAATGTGTGCTTTTTCTAGCTTTTGCTATTTAAAATTCAAAGAGATAAAGATACCAGGCAATGGCTTTTCTTTTTTCTTTTTAGACATAATTCCTTAGCAAAATAGAACGTTAGAAGTCGAGTTAATTACAGACTTTAAAAATTTTCCTGATCCATGGGGAACTATTGTTTAAAGCAGGGGTTGGCAAACTGTTGCCCAAAGCCAAATCCAGTTCACAACCAATTATTGTAAATAAACTTTTATTGGACGACAGCCACACCCACTCTGTTATGTGTTTTTTGTGACGTTCCTGCATCATAAGGGCAGAACAGCTTGGTTGTGACCGAGACCATGTGGCCCACAAAACCTAAAACATTTACTCTGCCCCTTTACAGAACAGTTTGCTGACCCCATTCTCAAGCATATATTCTAATAATAAAAATACAATTATTTTATCCTCAAATCCTCTCTAAAATTAATATATATTTATCAAACTTTAGTTAAGTAACCTTTTTGCATGCCTTTAAAAAATACAGGATTTTAGACTGATTACTTGGGATAAAATCTTATTGTACAACTGCCTCCCTATTAGAATATCGGACGTAGTTTTAAAGTGACAACAAAGGTCACAAAAAGTAAGCCTGAAATGTGAGGGAGACTTGCATCCTCCTTTTACTGAAACAGTTTTTCACTCTCAGAAGGGTCCCGGTTAGAATGATAAATCATGTGGTCATCCAGCTGAGGGGGAGAGAGGAGGACAGCCTTGGTGCCGAGACAAAGAGCTGCCATTTCCATGCGTCCTCTCTGCTTCTTCATAGCCAGTGGGCAGAGCCCCTTCCTTTTTCCTTCCCCTTCTTGGGGCTGTGATTTAGCAAAGTGCTCAAAGAATCAAACAGTAATGAGTGAACAACACACTAACGTATAAGGCATCTAGAAACAGACATTGGCTGTATATATATCCTTTTGGAGCTTAAATGTACTATATGGCTAGGTCTGTAAAGTCCATGCTACTGTGTGATGGTTTGTGCAAGTCAAGAGAATGTTATATATTTTGAACATCTATGTACCATGTTCTGTTAAGAAATATATACTGTGACACACCTAATTGAATCCTCACAATAGTCCAGTGAAAAGTAGATTTTATTGTCTTCATTTTAGTTACAGATGATATAACTGTGTCCTAGATATGGTCTTGCCCAAGGTCATAGAGCCTGGTCCAGAACCCAGGTCTCCTGACTTCTGGTGCGTTTATACTTTTACCTTTAACTATACTTCAGCTTCATACTGTACCACTAACCCATGATAACACTAAGAAAGGATGAGGTCAGCCCAGTCAGCCTCTACTGTTGAAACTAAGTCCCTGTATTATTAGTTTGTGTTGCCATTAAGTACCTAATAAGTTCTGGGTAAAATGTTTATTGAATAACAAAATGAATGAATAGGTCAATAGTACTGCCCACAAGCCCCGAAGTTTTTTACTTTATATCCTCCTGATAGGTTTGTTTCATAGTTGTAGGTAATAATATTGACCGTGAAAGTCAGTGAAACAGCAACCTCTTTCAATAGCCACACATGCTGCTGAATAACGGCAGTGACCTATGCTGAATAATGGCAGTCACCAGCACATCCATATACATGACCTTTTCCGGTCTGTTGCCAACACTGCCACCCCATGCCCGGTGGCCCTGTTTGAAACAGTTGATTTCTAAAGAGTCAATTACTCTTCCACTCTCCATCGCCCTTGGGCCTGTTAAGACATGAATTTGTTTTGAAAACTTTTTCTATTTCCTTCCATCAGGGAGAAGACTTTAAGGTGAGTTGGATTTAAGTCCATTTTTCAGATCAGGAAAGTAATAGTGAAAACTCTTTGAAGTTTAGCCAGTGAACCACTGACTATACTTTATTAGGACCTTTAAAAAGATCTTTTTCATACCCAATGCATAAAGATCTTTTTCATACCCAATGCATAATAATTGTGAAACATATTCAAACATAATAAGAAATAAAGAGCATAGAAAGTGAAAGCCACCAGGGATTCTATCTTCCAGAGAAAAATCCCTGTTAAACATCTGGTGCATAGGAATCCTTGGTCACTTTTAGGAATCTCTCTGAACCTAGAGGAAACAAACAATAGACTATTCTTCTTATATTATTTCCTAGAATCCTACTTCTTTAGTTACGTTTTTTAGGCAAAATCAGCTATTACTGACCACTTATTAGGAGAGAGGAAGTCATTGTTTATGCTTATGGAATAAGTCAGGAGTAATTTAAGCGTCTCCAAGCTAATTGGCTGTTGTCCTAGGACACCACTTAGTTAAGACATCAGCTGTTGACCATCCATTAGCCTGGTCAGCCCTCTGGTCCCTTGGCAGTCCATGCTGGGAGAGGGGACCTGCAGTGCACTTACATGGTTTTTTCCATTTAGCTGCCCGCATGTACCAGGAGATAGTGCTGAGGTCTCTAATCCTTCAATAGCCAGTTTATGGTCTTTTTTCATATGAAAGAAAAGAAGAGGGTGGATCAAATGCTTCATTTAAAGGAAGACAGATAACAACCTGATGGCCATTGGCCTGCCTGAGGAGAGAAACTCCCCCTCTTTGCTTTTTGAATATTGGGCTACCACTGACCTCCTGCGTATTACCTATGCTTTGCTTTCTGGGGAAAAAAAACATAAATTATGTAAATTGTCATTTACCAGCTAAGAACGCAACCTCCTTTGTCCTTTGTAGAGCATTTGCCTGACAAGTAACAAGTAGCGAAGATTTACACATTTTATAGGTCTGAGGAGACAAGTATGGAGTCCAAAGATTTATGTTAACGTTTTAGTTTAGAAACAATTATGCAGAAATGAAACACAGATCTAATTTCTAACTCTAACTTTGGTGTTTAGGGGGCCATCTTTATTTCAGTTCTACCTCTTACTCACTACTGCATCCCTTGGTTTTCATCTTTGGTCTTGTGGGAAGGACTCACTTAATATTTATCTTTAGCATTTTAGCTATAATAGCTTGTTGAGTTTTTTTGGTTGGCTTGTGAAACACATACTTAGTGCATTAGGTCTCCTGAATCCTGTCTAATTTATTTAATATACACACATCCTCCTCCTCCTCTTCATCATCATCATCTTTATCTTTGGTGTTGGCTGTATATTACTTTTTAAAATTTTTCATTGAAGTATGGTTAATTTTCAACGTTGCGTTACTTTCTGGTGTACAGCAAAGCAATTCAGTTGTTTTTTGGTTGGTTTGTTTTCTTTGCGGTACGCGGGCCTCTCACTGTCATGGTCTCTCCCGTTGCGGAGCGCAGGCTCCAGACGCGCAGGCTCAGCGGCCATGGCTCACGGGCCCAGCCGCTCCGCGGCATGTGGGATCTTCCCGGACCGGGGCACGAACCCGTGTCCCCTGCATCGGCAGGCAGACTCTCAACCACTGCACCACCAGGGAATCCCAAGCAATTCAGTTTTATATATATTTTTTCAGATTCTTTTCCATTATAGGTTATCACAAGACATTGAATATAGTTCTCTGTGCTATACAGTAGGTCCTTGTTGTTTATCTGTTTTATATACAGTAGTATCTGCTAATCTCAAAACTCCTAATTTATCTCCCCCCGCCACCTTGCCATCCCCTTCAGTAACCGTAAGTTTGTTTTCTATGTCTGTCAGTCTATTTCTGTTGTGTAAATAAGTTCATTTGCACCACTTTTTTAGATGCCACATATAAGTGATACCACATGATATTTGTCTTTCTCTGTCTGAAGTCCTCCATTTAATATGATAATCTCTAGGTCCATCCATTATATTACTCTTTATACACCTCACGAGAGATCATTTTCACAACTGGTGTGTTACAGCACCATGATTGAGAACCACTGTTACAGATGCATCAGTCAGTCTGAGACACCTTGATCATGAGAGTCTTCTGCTGGGATTTTTTTTCAGTGACTCTCCATTGCCATATAATAAAGCCCAATGGCTTAGTCAGGCCTTCATCCCTCTGCACGTCTGCCCCTGCCCATCTCTTAACTGTGGTTCTCCCATCCCTGCTTGTGCATTCCTTCTGCCCACGCCTCTCCCTGCCCACCCGCAGTTCCCCTCCCCTCTGCCTGTCAAAGCCGGCAGGAGTCCCACCTCTCCCACCAGGACTCCTCTACGACCCTCCTGCTCTGTAGCCACTTGGCGTTCACGGTCAGCGCTGCTCATTTAACAGTCACATACCACCGTACCTGCTGCTTTCCCATGACTCCTAAGTTAGACCATCAGGTCAGTAACAGCAGTAACCCAGTCTCACTGAGAACGCACCACACCCACGCAGGTGTGTAAAGCATAGAGAATGGTGCTGGAAAGGTACATGGCAAGTGTGCCTGTTCATTTACGGAGCACTTGATGTATTTCAGGAGCTTCTTCTTATTCTAAAAAGAGTATGTATCCAGTGCAGTTCTAGGAACTTTTTTAAAATTTTTATTTTATGTTGGAGTATAGTTGATTAACAATGTGTCAGTTTCAGGTGTACAGCAAAGTGATTCAGTTATATATACATATGTATCCTTATTCAAGTTCTTTTCCCATTTAGGTTATTATACACACTGCTGTATTTGAAATAGAAAGGATTTTTTTAAAATAAATTTATTTTATTTATTTATTTTTGGCTGCATTGGGTCTTCGCTGCTGCGCGCGGGCTTTCTCCAGTTGCAGTGAGCAGGGGCTACTCTTCTTTGCAGTGCGTG